TCAAGGAGACTGGAATTGAGAAAGTGCTATGAAGTTGGCTTCGTGATTTACTACTGAAAGCCTTTTTATGTTGGTCTAACAGACTAGAGGAGGACAGGAGAGATGATAGAAGTTACTTTTTACAGTTTCTAGATCATTTTAAGACTATAATGAAATTTTAAAATACATTCTAAGACTTTTGGGTAAAGCTGTATTTTTAAAAGTCTAAAAATACCTCTCTAAATAAACTTAGTCATAGTGCACATTTCATCTATTACGCATTAGTATGACAATTTAAATGGGGGGAAATATATGCATATATGAGTTCACACAATGACAGTGATAGTATTTCATCCTTCTCTCTTCCTATTTAATGATGCAAACTATCTTTTGCAACCTGAACTGATTGTAGAAGCAGTGCCTAACAGCCGAACAAAAATAATGTGGGATTTTAATTCATGTATATATAAATTAGGGGTGGATTTGGGCTAAATGGAGAGAAAAAAAGGATAATAAAATTCAGTTCTATTTTTTTTTCTCCCTCTCTAACTCTATGACCTTAGATAAATTTCTTTTTTATTCTGTAAGATGCAGGCAAAATCTGCCCCCTACCTATCTTTTGGAGCTGCTGCAAGATTTATTAAACTAGGGGGAAGAAAAAAACCCAAAAAAATGTTGAGAGGTCTGGTCAAATAGGAGTTAAATAAATACAAGGCAGTATTGTTATCTCTAAGAAGAGCATGAAGTGGAATTAACTTTAACAACATCTTATGAGTTAGGTAGATAACCTTAGACGTATTTTTATAGATAAGAGGGCTTAAGCCCTTCTGTTAAAGCCACATAAGATTGGGTGTATGAGAAGAGATACGATTACTGGATTCAGACCAAGGCTGGTATTTATTGAAACCTGAAAATATTTTAAAGGGAAGTTATAAAAAAAAAATCCCATCAACCCCCTTGGCAGGCAATGAGAGGAGTTTGCATATTATTCTCCCCAGGTTTCTTTCTGTGGTTCTTCATGAAATTGATCTGAAATGCAAGACACCTTGTCTCAATGGTATCCAAGGGGAGCCAAGTATTTGGAGAGCTATTAAAAGACACTGTTCTAATGATGAGACATATAATGTGATTTACTGCTGCCAAGGCCAAGGTATCCATCAGCTATGGAGAGAACAATGAAACGGAAAACCAATATGACAGCTACCGTAGTTCGTGCAACAAGGCTATGTGTGTAATAAATACACCGCCCTCTTTAACATTAGCCCCCACCCACCACCAAATAAAAGCAAATATAAATTGGAGAATACAAATTCTCCCTTCAACCTAAACAAACTTGCTTACCTGTTTCCAAAATGGCTTGCTTAACATTACTGAAAATGATTGTAATTATAGTGCCTGGCACATAGTAAATCATCAATGCACATTACCTGTTATTAGTTGGATTTGGAATAGAAATAGTTTTGCATCAAGTCAAGAACATATTAGGAATGAGATGCCTGGATGAAAGACTTGCCTCCTGCACTAAATTGCCGTGTGACGCTGGGTGGTGGTTTAATGTGATCTGTAAAGTGGTACTTTATGATTCGATGATAGTACTCAGCTGAGAAAAGTTAAAAAAAAAACAACCCCAAAATGAATGAGCTGCTACATGTAAATCCTTAGCTTGGTTCCTGGTATATGTACAGGTCTGATTTCCCAAGTGTTAACTACTAGGAGTTATGCAGGGAGGGTTGCTACCCCAGTGTTGCTCAGCCAGCCCTTTGATTGCTGAGCACATGCAATGAGCCAGGCAATGAAGGAGGCGTTGGGGAAAGAACAGATGAATAAGGGCGACTCAGTCCTTATCCACATGTGGCTTTTTGGGGGAGCATTAGCAAAAGAACATTCAAATAAAATAATTGATGGCTGGGATATATGCTAAGAAGTAACTAATAATAGACTGATGCAAAATCGGAGAGGAATTTCTTCTTGGGTAGGCAGTCAGGGAAAGTCTAAGGAAGTACGTTTTAAGGGAAGATCTCAAAGAAAAGTGGTCAGCTATGAGAAGTGGGGGTGGGGTGGGCAGTGCAGAAAGGTGAAACAGCAAGACAAAGGTCATGAGCTAGAAGACACTTAGCACATGGGAGGGAGGGATTGCCCAGAGTGGCTGGAGTGTATGGGTGAGGGGAGAGTGCTGCCAAATGCGAGTGACCGACAGGCAGGACTCTGCTCCTGGAAGCCTGATGGGCCATGGTGAGGAGTGTGGGTTTTCTTCTGTTTGCAATGGGAGGTCAGTGAGGGGCTTTCAATAGTGTCAAGAAATGATATTTTTTTAATACTTTTGAAAGACCACTTTTGCTGCTTTGTAGGGCAAGGCATCAAAACTTTATTGATCATGTAGCTGGAACTGTTCACAAATGCAACATCCTCTATCTCTCTGTCTCTGTCGCTCTGTCTCTTTCTCTCTACCTCTCTACATGCACACACACACTCCGTATATATGTTGATCAGTAATTAAATATTAACAAGGCCATTATTTTCTTCCTGCACACCATAAGTTATCTTATGGTACCATTTGGGGACCTGTGTTCCACTGTGTAGAGACGAGCTGGAACAGAGCAATGGTGGAGTAGGGAGAGCTATTAGGAGGCTGTTGTGCTAGTCCAGGTGAGAAACGATGGTAACTTGGCCAAGGGGGTGGCGTGTTTTTCATACGCACAATGCAAAGATCCCTTATTGGAATTACAGATCTGTGCTCTCTACTGGGCTTTGATATCAACTATGTTCCTATTACATGACTCATTCTTAATGCATTATATTAATAAAACCTGTTGGGTTGCTTAGTGGATTGTTGGAATGAAAACACCTTGAAATAGACTAGCCCTGTTTCCCCCATGATTAGCCTATTTCTTGAAGTGTTCTGGAAAAAGAGGATGGTTAGGGACTTGCTGGTACTTTCTCTTTCTGCTTGTTGACAAGGCTCAATGAGGATCAGAGACATAAGAAATAAAATAGACGTATAAAAAAATACCCAACACAACAATACTTGGAGCCAGTTTCATCCATATCTGTGTAACCTTTCTCTCAAATGAATAATTAAAATCAGGCAGTTAAAAAGTGCCTGCCCTCTATGACTTTTCAGCAAATGGGCTGCACACACTTTCACTTTAAGGGGGTTATTATAATAGGTGTGTTTTAAAAGATGAGAGTTGTAAACTCTTTGGGGAGGAAAACATCAGTTTTACTTGTACCAGTTCTTCAGGAAGAACTTTCTTTTGAAATCAAAACAATGTAAATTTTTCTAAGGCAATAATGGATTAAGACCAGAACATTGGAATCCACTATTTTTTATTGTTATTACTTTTTCTACTTTTTCCAGTCCTGTATTTGCATGGGAATGTATTTGAGTTCTGACTCTTGAGTCTGGCTTTCTTCTCTTGGAGGAATTCTCACGTACTTATCCAGACTGGAAAGGTTAGCAGGGCATGGAAAGAAGGCATTAGGCAAACGATCCTGCAAAGCTCTGAAAGCCTTTCTGAGGAGAGGAAAATGGCTGTCTGTCTTGGGCTTTGACAAAGAGCACTTGCAATTTTGGGAGGAGGCGGGACCTCTGGCTCTCCTCTCCTGCATCTAGAAGCCACACCCAGCCAGACAGTGTTCCTTTTACAGGAAGATTCAGGCTTGGGTGGTAACAGTGCTTTTGGAAGAATAGTCTGTGTCTCCTTTAATGACAAAGAGGACACTCTTTTGTCCTTTTAAGTTCACACATATAATGGCTAAGAAGCCTGCTCTGTTTGCATTGGCGCCTTTCTTGGATTGGTCATAGAACAATAAATTAAATTGATTTTTTGTAATTGAACTCTGAATTGGATTGATGAAAGAGAAACTTCTCCTGGACAGCATCAAAAAGAGGGTATCGTTATTTGAAGAATAATTATCACTCTGTTACTTTCAAATTGGTCATATCACAAACTCAGAATTCAGATTTTTCAGTCAAGTTACTTTTACAAGTGTGAAAATGGACAAACATGTAATTAGAAACTGGAAATTCTATTTTGCTGTGGGGTTCATTTATTCAATAAGCAAGTATTCATTGGATAATTTAATAGCTGCCGTATGATAAGGAAGCGTTATTTGGCACATAGACTACAAAGAATGTAAAGGTATTTCAACCCTTAGAAGCAAACTTTCTGTTTGAAAAAGGTTTGGGTTTTGAGAAATTCTTTGTAATTTTCAAAGCCCATTCACCTACTATAAATCTTTATCTGAACTTTTGAACAGTAGCAGGGAGCTGGGCTGGGCGGACATTATCATCATAGCATTACAGAATTTTAGGAATGGAAGGGATTTTAAAGGTCATTTAATGCAACTACTTAATTTTAATGTGTAGGAAACTGAGAGATTGCTACTTGTCTGAGGTCCCACAGCAAACTGATGGCAGAGCACCCAGCACACACTTGATGTTGGCTAATAACCTTAAGACATTCATTAGAAGCTCTGTGCTAGGCACAAGTGACACGGATAAATAGAGCTCTGTGCCTTCTGTCTTGTATTTATTTACATACAGATATATAATCAACTCACAATAAGTATTTATTGCATTAATGACTGACATATTTCTTACCGTGCAGAACACTCTCAAGCACTGAGGATAAAATGGCCAACAAAATAAACTGGTCACTTCTTTCAAGTTGCTCACGATTTGGTCAGCCTGTCCTCACTGAGTTTGCAGTCTCCTAGGAAGCCAAGATACATGCCCACAAAATGCAGGAAGATTGAGTTCAAATACAGTGAGTGCTTTAGGAGGTCGGGAAAGGAATCTAAACTCGATCATTAATGAAAAAAAAATCCTCCACCCCCCACGCCCACGCTCATTTAATTACATCATTCTCTGCCCGTTGCCTTTCCGGGATCTCCCCCAAGCCCGGACACAGATTCTGCCCGAGGTAAGGCTCACATGCAACTCAAGGAGGCTAAGAAGGGAAAAATCGGGAGCCCAGCTATCTCTATTATCTAAACTGGAAAAGGTCGTTGGAGGGGGGAAGAAAACAGCAACAGAAACTGACACCAACAATGAAACAGGAATATTAAGTCCCCGATACAGTGACCACTCCGCCAGCTCCGGGCTGGCGGACCCCACGGGAAGCGCGCGCGGGCTTATAGAGGCGCCGGGCCGGCAGCCGCGGGGGCGCAGAGCGGGCGGCGCAGCGCCGGCGAGCCCAAGGGGAGGGTCCGCGGCGCATCCAGTCTCCACAGCCGCCCGCGCACAGCGCAGCTCGCGAGCGGGACGCGGCGCTCGGAGCCCGGCAGCGTCCGCCCTCCCTTCCGCGTCGCCTGCCAACGCGCCCGCGCCCGCTCCGCCCGTGACTTCAGTTCAGCTCCACCCCCGCGTGGCGGCGGCTAGCTCTGTCCGGACCCGCGCTCGGCACCAGCCCAGCCTGGGCGAGCGGCCGCCACCTGCCCGGCGCCGCCTCCGCCCTCCCTAGCGCGGCCCAACTTGGATGGAGTTGGGGTCCTGAGCGCCTGTCCCCCCACAGCCGGCCAGCGGAGAGCCCCGCGCCGCCACCTTCAGTTCGGGACCCCCTTTCCCGCTCCTCTCCGCTCCCGCGATGGGAAAAGTTGGCGCCGGAGGCGGCTCCCCAGCCGGGCTGAGCGCGCTCCTCGCCGGCGCGGGGCTCTTGGTCCTCTGCGTCCCGGGCGCCTGCTGCGGCGGCTCCTGCTGCCCCCAGCTGCACCCCAGCTCGGCCCCACGTTGGGTTCCGACCACAGGGGGCTTTTTTCACCAGGGGCCTCCAGGCAGGGCTCCTGCCACGCCCCTGCCCCTCCTTGGGCGCCCCCTGTTCGCAGTGGCCCCCGGAGACCGAGCGCTGTCCCTGGAGCGGGCCCCGGGCCCCGGGGCGTCCGTGGCCGTTGCTCCACGCTCGGTCCGGAGGAGACGGAGTGGAGCGGATCAGAAGGCAGAACAAGGAGAGGGCGCGAGTAGGAACCCCAGGAGAGTGCTAAGGGACGGAGGGCAGCAGGGGCTTGGGACTCTGGAGCGGGACCCAGACAAAGCCACTCGCTTCCGGATGGAGGAGCTGAAACTGACCAGCACCACGTTTGCGCTGACAGGCGACTCCGCACACAACCAAGCTATGGTCCACTGGTCTGGCCACAACAGCAGCGTGAGTAGAATGGGGCTGAGGGCAAAGGGGTGAAAGCTGGAAAGGGTTAAAGTTGGCTGTGTGATCTGATGGAGGATTTGAGGAAACGGGGTTTCTGGACTGGAAAGATGCTGCAAACTAAAGTCTTACCTGCTCACCTCCCCCAGGCTACCTCCTAGGAGACCACCCCCAGCTCCTCCCCACCAAAACCATCAGCGTCCCCTGCAAACCCCAAACAAAGGCTTAATTAAACAGGGCAGACAAATTCCTGTTTCCTCTCTTCTTTGGTCTCATTGATGTAGCATGGATCTGAAGAGCAGACAGAGGGCTGTTCAAGTATCCTGAATGTGGAGGCGAAAGGGTTAAATTTCCAGGCAGACTGACATTCCCTCCAGTGACTTTTCCTTTACTTGCTAGACTCATGGATGAGCGCAAGTAATACCAATAAGATTTTATTTGAGGATTTTTATCTTATTTTTTATTTAGGGAGCTCCTAGCCCCCTTTTCCCCCCATAAGGGAAGAGAACTGCAGTGGACGATAAGGTGCCCTTAATGTCGCCTCTGTTTTGGGGACCAAGTGGATGCAAGTTTCAGGACAGGAACTGTCCAGCATCTTCTAACAGCACCCGCCAGTGTGTTGTGAGAGCTGGGTCTTTCCAGCCTGTGAATGAGTTGTTGTTTTCTGGTATGATCAGTCCCAGGAAGATCAGATATATCCCAGTGACAATAACTCCCTGTTCTGCCCCATTGCCTGACCTCCTCTAGAGAAGAGCACAAATAAAGACTTAGCCTCCTTTTATGAAGAGAGGAGAGGGGTTACTGGATTCTAGGAGGCTTGACGCTGGGGAGAATGGAAACAAGTCCCTGAGCTTTGGCCACGTCAGTAAAGGTTTTAGATTTTTTTAGAAAAGCCTGCATGTCTGGAATCTGAGGTAGCTATTATATTCCAGTTGAAACTGCACCTGGGAACTTCAATGAGCTGAAATAGTAAAGAGCCAGCTTTTGATGGTAAGAGCTGAAGAGGATTTAGAAGTGTGGAAACTTCTCTAGGCTGCCATTAAGCAGACAAGAACATAAAACCCAAGGATGGGTAAAATGAAAAAAAATAAATCAAAGTTTCAACTCCCATCAGGTTGTTGAGATGGTGGTATTTGTAATATGCACAGCCTCTGCAGCCTGGTACCTTTCAAAATGTTTTCAGTTGTGATGTAATTGCCAGAAACCTTCCCAGGGAAGTGCCACTTTAGTGAGTCGTGCTCATTGTCAGCGTTTTAATGATGGTGGTGAACATTTTAAAATAATAGTCTGTCATTATGGATTCCTTGGGTACACACACATAAATTGTACTAAGGCAAATCATGATAAATAGTATTTTGGAGTGACATCTCTGTTCTGGGAGCACCATCAGGGTTTTCCCTACAGTTTAGCCTTCGTGACTGAGGCTGTGGTTTTATGTGGTTCTCAGCGCCGGTTTAATCAAATAATGGAAGCTGAATTCTTTGCATTCAAGTCCTGGAGAACCTTGGCCCTCATTCCTTACCTTAACTATCATATCTTCCATACCGTAACCACTAAAATGAATCACCCAGTTTGAACTTGAATCTTTCTAAACTAATGGAATAACTTGCACTGCTTTAAGTGATTAGTTCAAAGCTTCTGGCTTTAAGGGGAGATTTTAAACACATCAGACACATTAGAGCTTGTTGTATCAAGAAGTAAAGGACTTTGGACTCAAAATATTTCTGGCTTTTAATGTAATTCAAGCTGTAAAATATCACTCACCCGTTAGACCTCTACTTTAGTTCGTCTCTTGAAAGATCTTGGAAAGAGCTAGAAAAGGAGAGTACATGTTTGGCAAATTTTAAACTCCATTTAAGAAATGGCGCCAAGCACTGCCAGACTTTTTTTTTTTTTAAATGGTGCTTATAAGCCCGGTAGGGCCAGGGCTTGGATGGGAGACATGCACCAAAGTCTGAGATAATGTAGAAAATAACGAAGGTGGTGTGTGTTAAAGGTTTGAGCACTGAAATCATGTTAACTAAGGAGTTTTCTACTTAATAGTCTCTTATTTTGTAAGGACATTCCCCCCCCACACACACACACACACCCCATCCCTGCCTGCTTACACACAAATTGGGTTCTTTTTAGTGTATGTGTGCAGATGGTAAAGGGAGAGAAATTATCTGTATGCAGGTCCTCCAAAACAAAGCTGGCCCACATTCCTAGGTGAGACAAAGTTTGAAATATTTTTTAAAGGGAAAGAAGGCAGAAACTTTTTTTTTTTTTGCATAACTTTATGACAGTGCAGACGTGAGTTCTAGTTCTGCTTATTTGTGTTTTGGTTTTGGCAGGTTTATTGCACTCTGAGTGTGAGTTTCCTCATCTCTAAAATGGGGGCGATGCCTGTCAGATTCACTACAGAGAACTTGTGCCAGGACCTACATAAGACGGCGCTGTGATTGTAAAGTACAGTACGCTTATTTAGAAACTTCATCTCACAGCGCTTCATTTTCACTAACCTAAACCTAAGGACAGCACTGGGGGGGGGGCTCTCATTTTTTCACATTATTGTCTTCCCCTATAACCACCCCCCTGCCCCCAATCCATTCAGGGCCAGAGACAATATCCATCCTCTGAACCTGTCTCACCTGTGGAAGTAGGGCTTCCGATTACAGTGACACCTGCATTCAGGAAGCAAATGTATGGTCATTAAAGGCTGCAATGCAGACCTGTGGGCAATTCTGGATGGTGCCCTCATCTCCTTCCCTTCTCCTTCCTGCCCCCTCCCCATTGGACTTGTGCAGTTGTATAAAGACACGACTGTTGTGCCCCATCTGTGGGTGTGACGTGATTCCTCTATACTGCAGCCTAGCTTGATGGAAACTGTTGCTAGAGTTGGTGGAACACCTGGGGGGATTTTTTGGCATGAAAGGTACTGGGTATGAATCATTTGTCATGAGGTTGGTGTCATAAGCAAGAACATATTGTTCCTACCCTACTCATCCTAGGCCTGCTGTGCCCTGATCTAAATTTAAACAGTATCCTCAGTTTGTTAAAATATATTTTTCATCTCTAAATGTATGGATGATGGGGCATGTGTTTATTCCTTATTTCCAAGAAGTTTCAAAGTGCTACACTCATTAATCCTTATAAAAATCCTTATTAGGTAATAGGTGGGTGGCATTTGTTCATCTCTCTTTTTCATGTTTTTATGTCCGTGTCAATTTGAATATTTCAATTTACCACCATGTCTCCTTCTTACAAAAAATACTGTTACCCCACATCAGATTTGTTAACGGAGGCTTTCACTTGACACATTTGGCCGTTAGGGTATCCCTAACGCTGCATGTATCACCGAGTGTGATGGGCTGGTTGCTTCCCATGGACCCCTTTGCCTTTAGCTGCTCTGGGACTTGACATTGATCATCCTAGTGAATAAACTGAGTTCCATCTTGAGTCAGGCTTTTGGGTATATGCTTTGCGTTCCATCATCTCACTTAATTTTCATAAAAAAAAAACTTTTGTGAGTAGATATTGTTCCCGTTACAGAGAGGGCAAAACTGAGGCTCCAGTAGGCTAAATGGCTTGCCAAGAGTTTACAAAAGGTCGCTGGCAATCAGGGACTGGCACCCAGAGTGACCTGATTCCAGAATCCTGCTGAATGGCTTGTCTTGAAGACTTTAAGGTGGAACAGAAAGACTCAGACTTCTTGGTGTCTGTATTTTAAGTAACCCTGTCTCGGGTGGATTTCAGATAATGGTGGAGGAGGCATAGCCTTAGGTGGGAGCTCCACGTAAAAAAGTAGGTACTGTAAAATGCACCTGTCACAGTGCACTCTTTCCTTAAGTAGTGATTTGGTTGTTCTCTTATCCGCCCACCTCTTCATCTTCAGTGAGACATGGAATCTGCACCTGGTGATTCACTGAGCGGGAGGTAACCTGCCATCACTTAGCTTTCAGACCTGATGTCTTTAGGAATAGATTCCTTTTCTAAGTTAATTATAAATCTGACTTTATAGAGAGGTTGGATATGAACACTTGATTTGGCTATACATTTTGACATAGTTTTTTGACCTGTTTTTTTCCTTTATCTTTTAAGTAAAATGATGCAACTTTAGCTTTCTCTAGCAAGCCCACATACTTCCCTCTCTGATCAGTGCTTTCTGCTATTAATGAACATTAGCATGGTGTGACATGGAAGGTAGGGGGTTTGGGGCAGACGGATTTGAGTTTGATGGTTAGCTCTCTTGCTTACCAGCACTTATCCTTGAGCAAGACACTTAACATGTTTTGAGTTTGTTTCCTCAACTAAAATATGGAATAGTACCTTTTTTGCAGGCTTTTCCCTGAAGATTTGACATTTTTATGACATGGCTGGTACTTAGTAAGTGCTCAATAAATGCTACTTTTTATTTTAGTTGAAGAAATAATTCTCTGATGGGGATTAAGAATCTTAGGTTATAGTCCTGACTGTATGCAAAGATTAGTTATGTAGTCATAACTTGTTAAAATTGTGTGGCCTCAATTTCACCCTCTGTAGAATGACACTAATGAACTGGAGCACAACCAAAATACCATACAGGTTGAAATTAATTTAATAGCTTATTCAGCTTGTAAGTATCGTACACCTGCTAAATTGAAGTAAAGTATGCTGGGTGTGTTGTGGATG